AAGCCAACTAGTATCACTTTACTTGTTTTGTACTATTTATCGCAGCATTTATTTTGTTTTGGATACTTATAGCAATTCTATGAATAACCAACAATCCCTACTTTCCGTTAAATTTTTTTTCCTATTTATTTGTTCAATTTTTATATCTCCATGGAATAGACACAGCATTTGCAAACGTTCAATACAGTCATATCCCTGATAGCTATAACTTTTAAAAGAATTAAAACCACAAACACAAATTTATAAAACATAATCCTTACTTTGGCCTACAGATAAATGTATAAAGTTACCAAATTAGGGATTACATTTTATAAAGTTGTCATTGTGGTTTTAATTGTTTCATTACTTTTCGTAGCAAGATCCCTACTTCATTTTAAAATTCATAATTTTTAATAATCTTTTTGGTTACTTTTATGTTATATCTGTATAAAGTATATACTTTACCTTTAGAAACTGTCGCGTGTCTATCAATCGATATTTCCCGACATCTGTTGGGTTTAAAAGATATTTAAGTACGTGCATGATATGTTTACCATTTACAAAAAAATATGTATATTTTATCAGAGTATCAAAATCAGGTACCCACAGAGCAATCAAATAAGCTGGAGAAATCTTGTAGCGATAGACCGAGCCGTCTAGGGTGTAGCCCCGCTGACGTGACCAGGTAGGTATTAGAGGAAAAAGTTGCTGTTTTAGAAATTTTTGAATTGTTATACCGGAAATGTGAGCGAGTTTTTAAGAGTATTATTAGTATATATATGTGCATAACATATAGCAATCAATACTTTGAATGGTCGGTTTTTCGCCGCGTAAATTGTTTGGAAACCTTGTCGATCCCTGATATTAAGTACAGTAGTACTTAATAATGAGTAATGTAGCTATTAAACTGAGCCTCTTATTCACAAATACTTCTCAAATATCCGCATAACGGTATTATGTAACAATGACACAATGGGCTATCTGTGCTCTGCCCACCACGGGTATAAAAACTCGGTTTCTAGCGTTGTAAGTCCGCAGACATGCCGCTGTACCATTGTGTGTGTGTGGGGGGGGGGGGGGGCTTACGTAAGGCGTAATTAATAATACTGCTGTCATTATAGCATAGAATTAAACAATGGCCTACCTGCGCAAAGTCCGCCGTAGAGAATCGAACCTCCGGACTTTTGCGTTACAAATCTAAAATTACCACTGACCCACCGGGGTACAGATCAACAATGTGCTTTAAGACAACGAAAACAGTAGGTTATAATGTATATAATTACCAATATACACCTATATAAACACACAAGCACTCAATATAATCAAAGACGTAAGATCAGCGGAAAACAGTTAGAACCAGAGGAGAAAGCCAATAATCTGAGCGCTTTCGGAAAGTGTACTTTTCATCAGGAGTATATGGCAAAAGCAAACAAAGCCCACGTAGACAAGAAAAACAACAGCATTGGAATCTAATGAACTGATACATCACTAGGAAAATTAGAAGCCTCGTTTATAAGATTATTATACCCCTTTACATGCATGACTGATATTTTTAAACTTTCTTGTATATATGTAAAAGCTGTATAAACACGTTAAATTTGTGTTATAATTTACACGGATGAAGTGGGATTTTTAATTTATATCCTGGTTCACAGAATTACTAGTGAATAAAAAGGTTCCACTGTTATTATTATTTTTTGCTAAACAATAAGTGCCTCTAAACACGTTGAATAAAACGTTTCTGATAACATACACCCTTAACTAAAAATGGAATAAATGTGTTGCTAGGAGATCTCTCTCGCCAGAAAAAAATAATTATTCATTGTTTATTCAGCTATTTTATTAACTGAGGTATTGGTTTGCTATCCAAAACTACTATACAATTCTCACTATAACCTTTGTTTATAAAAATAGGTAAAATGTGTTTATTAAATGTTATAATTTATTTTACACGAGCTCTTTCGTGGCTATCAAGCATTTAACTGATACTTTCCTTACGATGAAATAATTTTGACTTTTCTTTCATTATACACGAACGTTTCGCTCACGTTATATTTATAAAACCAGAAATAAACACAAATATTTAATGGAAGTATTTTGACGATTTTTATTTTTTTGAAACAATTAAAAATATCAAAGATATTCAGTAGTTCTCAGAACAGTTCAAATTTGCATTTTTGTTATAATGAGGGTTAAACTGAGCCTCTTCTTCCCAAACAATTGCCGCATGTACCAGCCTTGAGATCTGTTGTGTCTGAGGGGTCCTCCTGCCAGGGTGGATGGATTCTGTTGTGTGTTCAGTTTTCCAAACACTTTGGCTTTTTAAGGCTGTCTTTCTCGTGAGATGGTGAATACAGGTGTATCACCTCTGATGTTTCATCTCATTACTGTAGCCCGAAGGAGTTTCACACTTCGCCGGCTCAGTCACCTTACTCCCTCCCTCGTGAGATATGAATACTTTTTCAAATAAAAATGGCGTGTTTTTTTTTAGTTTAGTTTTCTAACAGATCAGTTAAGATCTAAAATATTCACCGTTTTAAGTACTTCGTTAAGGTTTACACCAGCTGTTGTGGAAACGTAGTTAATATCATAAGAAGTCAACTTGTTTGGAGCACGTATACTTGGATATCAACAAGAAAGACGACGTCGACTAGGGTGAGACAGAAATGATGTTTAGAATGTTTTCTATCCTCTTGAAAGATAGGCGACCCACTTTTCGCAGTTAGAACAGTTGTGCCTAAGGAATCCTTCCGTCAGTGTGGGTGGATTCTGTTGTGTATTCAGTTTTTCCAAACATTTTAGCTTTTCAAACTTGTCTTTCTCATAAAATTGCGGAGGTACACAGGTATGCAGTAAAACCAAACACACGTATGCCACGTTACATTACGAGATTTCGTATCCCACTATAACAGGAGTGTTGATTTGAAAATAAAGAACACACAGTTGAAACAGACCCTGTTCAATCCAAAGCTTTTTGTTTTTTTATCAAGACTCAAATCATGTGGTTATCACGTCACGTGCATTTTTTATCGTACCGTTAGTGTGTGTGATGATATGATGAAAGTTTTACTTCGCCGTCGGTACGCTATGCAGTCTTTTTTATATAAATAAATTATTTGTTTTCCTTTCTCGTGTTCAATTTAACGAAAAAGTTAGTGTATCCCAAAGTTATTGCTTTCAATTTGTAAAAGCTAAACCTAAATATTTTGCCTTCCTTACACGTTAAACCCTCAAATTACGGGTTTGTTTTTATATCGAATACTAACACTGGGGGGGGGGGGGGTCTAGATATTGCATTATATTGAATAATTTTATGTTTGTGCCTGTTACAACACCTGACCAAAAATAAGTAAGTTAAATCAATTATTTTCAATGTACAAATACAGTGACATCATGAGGTACTGATTAGCAGGGTTAATTTTAATATTGATGGAATACTTGTCTTCACTTTCTGTGTGGCTCATGTGTTTATGAGGGACCTTATAACCAGTTATAGACCCTCAAGAAATTTGGTGCATAAACAGTTTGGAAAAATGTAAAAAAGTGGATGGGCCCCCATCGGTAACTAGAGGGTTATAAATATAGCAGAAATTTCTTACTGCTACTTTGTTAGTTATTTACATACATTGTTACTGGTATTGTAGAGTATGTTTAAAGAGAAAAGAAACCAACCAAAAACGTCGTGCATAAGATGTTTTTCTATTGTTTTGTATCTTTATTTATATTAAAGCTAATAAGACTGGCCGCCCCCAATTTTTAACTATAGACCAGAAAGTAGGTAGCCAATCAGCACAATCCTACCGTCCACGCTATGGGATTAACTGTAGTTCTTATAATGCAACCAACAGCTTAAAGCACGGGTAATATATTGTGGTATCGCACGGATTCGAACTCCGCTCGACAACACGATACTTGAAATTAAACCAAAGAAAAAACGCTAGGAAAAAAGTGAAGGCTAAAATCCATTGTCAAGAAGTACAACTGGTGACTTTAAATAACAGTTTTCAAACCAGCAATAACAACAAACAAATCAGATAAAATTCATATTTCTACTATATATATATATATATATATGTATGTATGTATAAAAACATTGTTCAAGGTTCTTGCCCAATAAAAAAAAAAATTTATATTTTTTTAAATAAACAGCGAACAAAAAATTAAAACGTTGTTAATTGACCACTAACAATTATAGAAAATGTAAGAAGAAAAATAGCGTTTTTGATAAAGATTTACTCAAGTTTTTAATTTTCCTTTATTAGTAAAGTCATAAACGAAAAGTTCAATTTGTTCAGAATGTAAAATAATAAACAGACGATGTCTTTATTTTCTGGATTATAATTTCGTCTTCTTGCAAGGAAACCATTCTTATTTACAAATTCTGGATGAAATAATGTGTATTGCAAGGGCGAAAAATAAGAATCGGGGCAATTAGATATATTAGATAACTTGAGTTAATCATTTTATGTTGTGCCTATTCGTCCCAGATTTTAAATTAGAAAACATACACACACTCTAAAAACGTTATATTACAATCCTACAATAATTAGTGTTAGTGAGATAAAGCTCTCCAGTGTGTGGTAAGTTCTACAATAGGAGCTGATACGCCCGAAGAAGTTTTACACCCCTCCGTGCTAGATATGTTATCTTTTTATTCACATTTTATATTACTGTTTTGTCCTGTTCAAGTTTGGTATCAATTTGCTATAATAAATTAAAATATTGAGTGATACGTTTATATGCCTTCACTTAAAAATATTAATAACTAGCTGGAGTGCGCGTCCCCTGGAAGGAAGTTATGTAAATTCATGATTAATAAAATGTTATCTTAAGATATAAAAGTTGCTTCCTTTATATGT